CGGAGCGTCCCTCCCCCTCCTCTCCCGCCCTCCCCACCTGACAGCCGCCGCACCGCGCAGCCCGGGGAAGAGACCGAGAGGGGAGGCCGGAGATTGCGAGCAGGCCCTAAACTGGAGCCCGGCGCGGGCAGGTGAGAAAGGCCCACAGTACCACAAGCAGCCTGTTTACTCCCTATAGCACCCCCATATGCCTTTTATTCTAAATGTAGCACCCCCATGTTACGTATATTATGCCCACAACACCCCCATGTTTCCTATTATTTCCTTCATCACCCCCAGCATCCCCATTTACCCCATATTATTCTGTCACCTACAGAACCACCATATTTCTTGAATTATAACTTTATGACCCACATCACCTCCATATTCCTTGTATCATACCCCTCATCACCCACAACACCACAATATTCTCTAGTATACTCACAGCACCCCCAAATTTCCTTTCTTACTCCCCTCATTACCCACAGCACCCCCATATTTCCTGGATTATCCCTTCAGCTCCCCTATATTCCTTATTATACTCCATCAACCCCAGCATCCCATATTACTTGCATTATAACCCACATCACCCCCCCAATTTCCTGTTTTATACCCCTCATTACCCACAGCACCTCCCATATGTTCTATTATACCCCACAGTTCCCTCCACATTTCCTGTATTATCCCTTCAGCACTCCCATATTGCTTGTATTTTACCCCACAGCACCCCCATATTCCTTGTATATTACCCCATCACCCACAGCACCCCCCATATTCTGTTATAATTTTGTCACCCCCCAGCTCCCCCATATTTCCTGTATTATGCCTTCGCCCCCAGCTCCCCCATATTTCCTGTATTATGCCTTCATCACCCACAGCACCCCCCATATTCTGTTATAATTTTGTCACCCCCCAGCTCCCCCCTATTCCCTGTATTATGCCCTCGTAACCCACAGCTCCCCCATATTTCCTGTATTATGCCCTCGTAACCCACAGCTCCCCCATATTTCCTGTATTATGCCCTCGTAACCCACAGCTCCCCCATATTTCCTGTATTATACCTTCACCCACGGCACCCCCATATTCCATGTATTATGCCTTCACCCAGAGCCCCCTTATATTCCCTGTATTATGCCCTCGTAACCCACAGCTCCCCCTTGTTTCCTGTATTATGCCTTCATCACCCACGGCACCCCCATATTCCCTGTATTATACCTTCACTCATGGCACCCCCATATTCCATGTATTATGCCTTCTTCACCCAGAGCTCCCCCATATTCCCTGTATTATACCTTCCCCCCCCCCCCCCCCCCCCTCCCC